CTTTTTTTTTTTTTTTTTTTTTTTTTACTTCTTGAAGGGTGTTCTTTTATATGGGCCTCCTGGTACGGGCAAAACATTGTTAGCTAGAGCAATTGCAAGCAACATTGATGCCAACTTCTTGAAGGTTATAATTTCTTTAAGTGCAAGGGAGTTAAGATGTTTCAAATTTGCAAGTTTTGCTCTAAAATGTAGACGTTCATTTTTCATCACATGTAGGTTGTTTCAAGTGCTATAATTGATAAGTATATTGGAGAAAGTGCAAGGTTGATTCGTGAAATGTTTGGATATGCCCGTGATCACCAGGTAAGATGGTTATCTATTTTTATAGCTTTCTTTTCCTATGTTTTGCAACCTATTTCAGAATTTAACTTCCAATATTTTGCTTCTCTTTCTGTAAAGCCCTGCATTATATTTATGGATGAGATTGATGCCATTGGTGGGCGTCGATTTAGTGAGGGAACAAGTGCTGATCGTGAGATTCAAAGAACATTGATGGAGTTACTTAATCAGCTTGACGGATTTGATCAGCTGGGAAAGGTATTTCTTTGTTCAAAACTGTAACTAAAGGGACACCACAATGTGCTTCCACACAGTCGCGTGGACACACACACAAACACTTGGATAGTCTCTTGTATGGTACCTTGTTGCATAGATTTTCTATGGATGAGGATCTTGTTGGTTATTTCACTGTCAACGTTGTTGTATATCCTTTAAGAGAAGCTAGAATTAGTGATATTGGTGATGCCTGCTTTCGTCCAAAGATATAAATAACTTGTTAGACTAGATCTACTTCTAAATGGATACGCTTTCTCTCTGTTTTGGTACAGGTTAAAATGATAATGGCTACAAATAGGCCAGATGTTCTTGATCCTGCTCTTCTCCGTCCAGGCCGCCTGGATAGGAAAATAGAGATTCCGTTGCCAAATGAGCAATCAAGAATGGAAATTCTCAAGATTCATGCCGTTGGAATTGCCAAACACGGCGAGATCGATTATGAAGCTGTGGTAAAGCTTGCCGAGGTATGTATCCATTTTATGTCGCCGCCTATTTATTTTCACACGATCACATGTTTTACATATTTGCTATATGGTTGCCATAGGGCTTTAATGGGGCTGATCTCCGAAATGTTTGCACTGAGGCTGGAATGTCAGCAATCCGTGCAGAGCGTGACTATGTCATCCATGAGGATTTCATGAAGGTACGGCGTTTCCCTTGTGTAGCAATAGAAGATTTTTTTGAATCATTGAGAAATTATGACTCCTGGATAAAAAGGCGTTATTCCTTTATGCGCGACTAATCAACTAGTATGTAATCTTTTACAAGATCTAAAAATAGCTTC